TTTAAAAAAAATTGAACCCTTTTTCTTCACTAATTTTTTTGAAAATGGCATTGGACCCATGGCAAATGTCTATGTTGTCATGGTAGAGAATGGCACACAGACACACCAATTGCACATTTTAATAATAGCTAAGCATGCAGGTGTTGAATTTGCGATCAACATACATTTTATCATATCCTCAGAAAAAAAAATAGTCAAGTACATACGATTGTTATGTGAAAACTCTAGAAATCTTAGTACGGAAACAAAAATGCCAAAAGATTTGGGATTTTATTTTCTTAGTAGTCACTACACTACTCACTACACCACTCATTTAGTCACCAAACAAAAATTAACAAAAGATTTTCAATTGAAAACAAGAGAGTGAAAATAAAGCCATTATAGGCCCAGTTTGGCCAAGTCACCAAAATTTTACCACACAGAAAACCTTTTTATATTTTTTTAGCAATAATAATGTGTCCACACCGGATATAAAATATTTGATTAACTCATCTTAAAACACAATCTTTTAGTCTTTGCAAACTTTAATATTTTTGATGTTTTAATTATAATAAATAAGTAGTGTATACATTTGTTGAGTTCAAGACTCATGATCGGTTCTATTTAAATGCAATATGTATTTTTGAACGCAATTCATGATATTTATTTGTTATTACTGAACTGGCCCTGGAGACTATCCAGCAACATATGAATGAATTTTATCGGCAAACACTTGGGCAGTGAATTCTACAAAGTGATGGTCTCAATCATTCACATTTAGCCTAATTATTTAAAATACTTACCGATAATCAATTGAATACACTTTGGGCTTGAATGGATAACCGGTTCTTAGGCAGTCCAAAAGCAAAGCAGACGCACCACAAATAATTTGCCATTCAAGCTTATTAAAAAAAGCAAGCAGTTTTTTCAGAAAATAATAATAATAATAAAAATTTGGAACGCCAGAGTAAAAGTGGACGAGATTTGTGAACAAATTATATGATCTGCTTTGTACAGTAAAAATGCTGCTTATTTGCTGTGTACGTGATGTGTTTCTTGGATTTTCAATATTTTTCAATATATTTGATGGTTATATGGTTATTTCTCAATATAGCTCAATTCAACTCTACTCTTTTTTTTTTGTGGTTGTATTTGTTAAATTTTGTGTTTTTGGTTTGTATCTAAAACACTAAATAATGTTAATATATTAAACTCATGTAAATATTTTTACACTAAATTGAAAAATACATATTAAAAAAATACAAAATAATATAGTAAATTTTAATTTAAAATAATTCTTATAATCTGTATAATATTCTATAAATTAGCAAAATTTAATTTAATACCATTTTTATAACTTTTGAAAAATATTTTATTTAAAATTAGTGTTTTTTGTTATATAAATATTTGATCCGCACGACTTGAACTACTTTCACCATTCAAATATTTTATAGACTGTCAGAACCGCTTGATCCGCACTTGTTCTGCTAGAACCGCTTGATCCACACTTGTTCCGTTAGAACCGTTTGAACCGCTTGATCCGCTCTGCCTAAACTACTTTTTCCATTCGGAGCCTTTATTTTTCACTCCGTATAAATGTTGGCCACATTCGCATACGAGTTTATAATAAATTTGTCGAATTCGTATTTAAATCTTCCCGTCGTGACTAAACATTAATTTTGAAAACCAACATCTTGTAAGACCATCTCCAATGTATAGCTCTATATTTTACTCTAAAATAGAGTTACTCTATTTTAGAGGAGGGTTTCTCTCCAATGTATATTTCTATTTTCTACTCTAAAAAAGAATATTCTTAGAAATATTCTTTTTCTATTTTATATACTAATACCTTTTAATTCTATAATTTACAATTTAACCCCATATATTATAGATTTGCAAAATTTCCATAAAATATGATATTAGTTAAATTAAACACTAATTATTTATTAAAAAAAACATTACATCATATAACAATTAATAATAAAACAATACAAATTTTATTTTAAATAACAAGATATTTTAACTATCTTGCGGATCTACAAACAATTTACCGGACTATTAAATTACTAGTTTTATGTTTTAGTTTTCTTATATTGTTTATTTTAAATTTAGTACTTGTTTGCTTTTTAAGTTTATAAAACTATGTAATTGTTGTTTGTAAAATGATTATATGTATTAAATAAAAAAGTTTAAATTTGAGGGACTAAAGTATAAATAAAAAGTTGAACTCAAAAATAGAGTAGAGAATAGAGTTGCTCTATATATAGAGTCAATCTGTAGAAATCTCTATTTTAGAGTCAATTATAGAGTAGGGTTGGAGAAGAATTTTGTATTTTTACTCTAAAATAGAATAGGGTTGGAGATGCCCTAACATGAAAAAAAATGTCTCAATCAGTCCTTTTTTTGGTATCTCAACCTGTAAAACCTTAATGTGACCTATCCCTAATACCTGATTTATAATGTCACCTTTTAACAGAACCACACTTATTTTGTCAGGCGGCTGCGCACGTGCAATCTATCTCTTGCCTCCCACACGTGTCGGCTCTTGCTACACAATCTATAAAAACTTTTATAGGGTCTTAGCTAGGTTTTGTGCCTGTCTAATAGTCCAATTTCCAACACCATGGACATGGATTCTGATAAGTGTGTATTGCATCATTCGGTGAAGTAAATATTTGGTTTTGGTTTACTGATACAAAAGTTTCGAGTGTCTGATGCACTCAAATGCCGTCAATATATATACGTAAACATGATTAACTAAATTTTTGTGGTTTAGTAGTTTAAAGGTTTATCATGGATTGGAAAAATAAAAGTTCAAATCTTTTTATTGCAATTTAATTCATGATTGTGTTTAAAATAGTAGAAATACTAGTTTTTGCGTGATTTGGAAGTTATAAAATGGAAAGAGTAATCCCGAATAAAAATCCACAAACCTTTGCAATGAAAACCAAAACTCTTTATCACTAGTTCACCATTTCGTTAACCAAAGAATATGTCCTCAACATGTGGAACACCTCTTTCTTATGTATTTTATACTTTGTGAAAGAAAAAAAAACATATTGAAAAGATTAGCACAAAAGAAAATCTATAATACTAAAATGGGAAAAATGTCGTTAAAATCCCCAACTTATTCAAAACGTTGATTTAAATCCTCAACTCATGACGAAACGAAATAAATATCAAACTTATGTTGACTTTCCAAATAAACACCAAACTTTCATTGACTTTCCAAATAAATATCAAACTTCCGTTGACCTGACCATATTAGGTACGACGTTAAGTGGGTTAATAAATCCTCAACTCATGACAAAACGAAATAAATATCAAACTTATGTTGACTTTCCAAATAAATATCAAACTTATGTTGACTTTCCAAATAAATATCAAACTTCCGTTGACCTGACCATATTATGTACGACGTTAAGTGAGTTAATAGATCTCGTTAACGGAGGTAATTTTCTGTTAACATATATGTTAATTGATAACGACATTGTTTCATATAACAACGAAACGACGTCGTTTTGTCGTAACGATTGAATTAAATCCCTAAAGTCAATCTTCGATCCCCAAATCGAGTAAAATCTCTAACCCTAAATAGAGTATGATTTGAAACTCGGGATTTTATTGAACAGTTACGACAAAACAACGTCGTTTTATGTTTAGAAGGAATACTTGTTAGTGTTTTGATCAACAAACGATTTCTGTTTTAACAGAGTATGAAGAACAAAACCAAAATGAAAAATAGAGTATGAAGAAACTTGATCTTTATTGATAAGAGAAAATGTATTACACACAATGATGTTATTGAGTTTGACTCGATCTACTTATACAACACGAAACAACGTGTACGTACATGTGTTAATCGAAAAGACACAACTTTACGAACAGATACAACTATACGTACGTACATTCGTGACTCTTACGTAAATAACTAACTTATATGAATACGACTTCAGGTTATATGACTGAGATGAGATTTGATTATAGTTCAACAATACTGTCATTTTTAATTAGCGGGTCTGTTAACAGAAAATTAATCTCGCTAACATTGTCTGTTAACTCACTTAACGTCATGCATAATATGGCCAAGTCAATGAAAGTTTGGTGTTTATTTGGAAAGTCAACATAAGTTTAATATTTATTTGGAAAGTCAACATAAGTTTGATATTTATTTCGTTTCGTCGTGAGTTGAGGATTTAAATCAACGTTTTGAATAAGTTGAGGATTTTAATGACATTTTTCCCATACTAAAATGAGTGAATATGACCAATTTGTAAATATCAAAGAAGATTGAATGGTATTGAAATCGTGCTAAACTCCGATTTGCTCGTTTAAAGTTTAGTTGGAACAAAGAGTTTTCTTAAAAGTAAGAAAAAAGCAGTAGTATAATAGTAAATGATGGATAAAAAACGTGTCACGGTACAAGTTGAATGAATGCAAAATATCTTCAATTAATGCCCAACAGTTATCCGACCTAAATAAATATAGCAGCCGTTATAATTATTTGAGTAGCATATGTGCAATGGAATAACTGACCAATGTGTGTTTCTATATGTATGTAAACTGTTTTCGTGAGTGCCATGACCCTTACTTAATACACTCAGGCACCCCACCGTTTTCTTCTTGTTTATTATCCACTACAAAAAAAGGTTACATTGATAGCACTTAAGCATAGCACGATTTTCGATTTTGCTATGAAAAAGACCATGTCGGATTGGAATACTCTATTATAGCATTTTATAAATGCTATGCCGAAATTTAACTAAGCGGGAACTATTAGAGCCAATTTTTTCATCGATCCTAACACTTAAAAAAACAGACGGTGACTTTTCCTTTTCAATTAGATAGAGAGAGAAAAAAAAAACAAAACTTTGAACAAAAAAAAAAAGCTCTCTCACTCTCACCATCTTCGATCCTCTTCTCCTCCAATCTTCTTCTCCATTATGTTCTTTCATTCGATCTCCCTTGCCTCTCTCTCTCTCTCTCTCTCTGCAACTTTTCTCATCTCTTTAGTTTCTCCGACATATCATCCCTCTCTCTGCAAAGACGACGACCACTGCCTCATCCTTCGCCGGCGATAATCTCGATCTCCGACGGCCTCTACCTTTCCGCCGATAGTTTTAAGCTTCGCAGCTGAATTTTTATCTATGTCGTTCAAATTAGGGTTCAATCTTCAGCTTAAGGTACGAAATCACCAATATATACCTTGATTAGGTTTTCCTTTACCGTTAGTTGTCCTTATTTGGTCTTATCGAAATTGAAACTGGTTTCAAAAGGGATAACGATAATTTTGATATTTGACGGATTCAAATTAGGGTTCACTTTTCAACAAAACAAAATTTCATATACAAATTAGTGTTGTGCTTTGTGTTTTTTGTTTCTCAGATCTTCCAAAGATAAAACTCAGGTGTTGGTGCTAAATTCAGGAGCTTGAAGAAGAAGTTAAGCTTCTCAAAAATCTCTCCCATCCAAATATAGTTGTGAGTAATAGTTTCGGCTCTGATTATACTATTGTCGAATCTGAGTTTTGGAAAGGTTGAATTCACAAAACTATTGTGCGTCTCTACCTGATTCCTTAGAATAGTTTTTGTTGTGTAAACTGATGATGATTTCATGCCCTCCAGGTGTTCGACGAATTGCCTCATTATTGGTTTGCTTGTTTCTTGACATTGTTTGGCATTATGTACAGCTTATTACATTTAGTTCATTATTGAACTTAGTTATGGATCATTATTGAATCTGGTGTGACTAATTTGATTGTTGTTTTCTTTCGTGTGTTTTATATTGTGAAGTTACGAATGTAAAATCTGTCTAAAGGTGCATAACAACGAAAGAGACTACTTGTCGCATCTTCACGGTAAGAGGCATCACACCAATTTGTATGATATAGTCAACTTAGCATATCAATTGAATATTATGGATATTTGCTTTTTTCATATTCAGCTCATTTTCAAGAGAAAAAGTTCAGAGATGAAATGAAAACAGAGGTAAGCAAATGTTTTATTACTTGGTGTCCTTATGTAGCTTTTAAATTTGGGTACTTTTGTGCAGAACACTTCAGATAATGATCTTTATGATTCAGAATTTTCTGGTAAGTACTCTTTTCTCTTATGCTCTTGCTCAATCTGTACATGTTAATCATTTGTATCAAACCTAATATGTTTTGTTTCAATTGATTATCAGAACCTCCTCATTTAAGTAAATGGTTTCCGGACTATGTCTATGAATCACCGATGTTGGATACATGTTATGGTTTTGAATTCTCTGGCCTTAAAGAAAGTGAAAGTATAAAGGATTTGGAAATTAAGAAAGAGACACCAACAAAAATCGATGACTTAGTCTCTTCTAAGATTGATGATATGACTGACTCGCAAGCTGCATATTCAGGTGAACAAATATATGTTATTGTTTTGGCTTTATTATAATGTGATGCGATTAAAATGATTCAATTCTGCAGTCAATATATGAATGTTTGTTTTGTGCATATTTCTGATTTGAAATGTTTGTTTTGTTATTTCTAACAGAGTTGGTAGTTGAGGATAGTGACATAGACGATGCCGTAATAGACAAAAACCGTAGAAGTCTTTTTCGAAGAGTGGCTAAGCGAAAACCTACAATACCAACCGTGAAGAAGAGTTA